CCGATACCCCATTCTTTTGATAAGCCGACAAGAGCTTGTTTATCGACTCCAAATCCATGTTATACAGCTTGCTCTCGTCAAGCTCGCTCCCGACGGTGCCCTGGAGCTTGGCATCCGGCAGCTTGGACCATTTGATGCTCTTTAATGGATTCGTGGGCTGTGGCACGTTATTCTTTGGCAGTTCCACCTTGGGTGACACAGGATCTGCAGGCAAAGGATAGAAATTAATTTATGTGGCGCTCCTTGGCTAACTTAACTCTGTACTCACCCATTGCTGGCGTCATCCACGGTGGCGAAGGCAGTGCACCCGGCGGTGGTGGTGGCATCATGGCCGGCGCCATTTTGGCGGTGGCGGCATTATGGCCGGCGCCATTTGGCGGTGGCGGTTTGGTGGTGGCGGCATTATGGCCGGCGCCATTTTGGTGGTGGCGGCGATATGGCCATGACCATGGCCGAGGGCGGCGGCGGCGGCGGTGGCTACACAGCTCCATTGCAGCCAGTCAGACCGGCCACCTTCTGGGCATCGGGTATGCTGCCCTCGGTGACCAGATGCTCGAGACGGGCCCGCTTCTGCTGCTCAATAAGCAACCGATGATACCGATCTACAAAAGTTGTGAAAAATAACTGTCACTTTTCGATAATAGTAGTAAAAAAAAATAGCTGGTCACAGCACAAAAGTTATGAAAAACAACACTAATTTTTCGATATTAAAGTAGTGAACATTAGCTGGTCACACTACAAAAAGTTATGAAAAACGACACTAATTTTTCGATATTAAAGTAGTGAACCTTAGCTGGTCACACCTCCATGCTGCATATGGCGGCTCCATGTCAGCTGATCGTCGACCTTATTATTATTATTATTAACATACCTAACCATCCTCGCCGAACAGACGCACGGCGTGATCGAAGCGGGTCTTCATGTCCTGGAACTTGTCCTCCAGCTCCGCAAAGTGGACCGATGCCGAGGCGTGGAACTCCCGCATGAAGGGCAAAGTTCGATTGAACTCGATTTTGCGTGCCACATCCGCCAGGCCGGTGAGCAGCATCTGGATGTCCATGTCCATGTCCATCTCGCCCAGCGACACCTTGGAAGCCTCACGGGCATGCGGAATGTGATCCCAGCTCCAGTGGATCCTGAATTTACTCTCGATTACCTGGACGAGATATTGCAGCAGGGTGGTGCCCTTGGCACTGGACTTGGTGTCGGCCACGCGCCCTGCGGTTCATGTAGTTGTCTGTAGTATTAAGAATGCACTTAAATAGTGAAAATAAATGAAAAAGTGAATGCATAGATTACCCATAGCCAGAATCAGCTCAAGGAGCTTTCGCAGACGTCGGGAACTAGCCACTACGCGGTACGCCTATTACACTGGCGATGCGGTGTATAAGATCGTTGACCGTCGGCATAAAGCGCTTCCTGTAGTGGAGACTCTTCAGCCTTTACTCGTAGTGGGGAATCCTGCCAGGACAAAAGAACAAATAGTTTAGTGACTGCCAAATCTTCGATGCCCTTCAAACCCACTTTGATATTTCGTAAAGGAAGCGATCGGCGCGGGCCAGTGACTCAATATCCTCTTTATGCTCATCCAACAGTGCATGTTTCTCCACCACGGGCGTAAACTGCAGCTGCTCGTTGCTGTCCATCGAGAAAATGGCCCTAGAAGAGAAGAGATTAGTATTTGGAACCAGGACGTGACTAAAGCAACTCCTACTCGCTCATCTTCAGCTTGCTGAGCAGGACGGTGCAGTTCTGGGCCGGCGTCCATCGATCACTGAGAGCACCTTCTGCTTGGCTGGCTTGCCGCCAGTTGCCCGCAGATCCTCATCGGAGCTATCGGTGGCCTGTGGAAAGAGAAGAGAGCATTAAATAAAGGAAGGTCTTTCAGTGGAATCTCCCCTAGACACTCACCGATACCCCATTCTTTTGATAAGCCGACAAGAGCTTGTTTATCGACTCCAAATCCATGTTATACAGCTTGCTCTCGTCAAGCTCGCTCCCGACGGTGCCCTGGAGCTTGGCATCCGGCAGCTTGGACCATTTGATGCTCTTTAATGGATTCGTGGCTGTGGCACGTTATTCTTTGGCAGTTCCACCTTGGGTGACACAGGATCTGCAGGCAAAGGATAGAAATTAATTTATGTGGCGCTCCTTGGCTTAACTTAACTCTGTACTCACCCATTGCTGGCGTCATCCACGGTGGCGAAGGCAGTGCACCCGGCGTGGTGGTGGCATCATGGCCGGCCATTTTGGCGGTGGCGGCATTATGGGCGCGGCGGTGGCGCATTATGGCCGGCGCCATTTTGGTGGTGGCGGCATTATGGCCGGCGCCATTTTGGTGGTGGCGGCGATATGGCCATGACCATGGCCGAGGGCGGCGGCGGCGGTGGCTACACAGCTCCATTGCAGCCAGTCAGACCGGCCACCTTCTGGGCATCGGGTATGCTGCCCTCGGTGACCAGATGCTCGAGACGGGCCCGCTTCTGCTGCTCAATAAGCAACGATGATACCGATCTACAAAAAGTTGTGAAAAATAACTGTCACTTTTCGATAATAGTAGTAAAAAAAAGCTGGTCACAGCACAAAAAAGTTATGAAAAACAACACTAATTTTTCGATATTAAAGTAGTGAACATTAGCTGGTCACACTACAAAAAAGTTATGAAAAACGACACTAATTTTTCGATATTAAAGTAGTGAACCTTAGCTGGTCACACCTCCATGCTGCATATGGCGGCTCCATGTCAGCTGATCGTCGACCTTATTATTATTATTAACATACCTAACCATCCTCGCCGAACAGACGCACGGCGTGATCGAAGCGGGTCTTCATGTCCTGGAACTTGTCCTCCAGCTCCGCAAAGTGGACCGATGCCGAGGCGTGGAACTCCCGCATGAAGGGCAAAGTTCGATTGAACTCGATTTTGCGTGCCACATCCGCCAGGCCGGTGAGCAGCATCTGGATGTCCATTGTCCATCTCGCCCAGCGACACCTTGGAAGCCTCACGGGCATGCGGAATGTGATCCTCCAGCTCCAGTGGATCCTTGAATTTACTCTCGATTACCTGGACGAGATATTGCAGCAGGGTGGTGCCCTGGCGGCACTGGACTTGGTGTCGGCCACGCGCCCTGCGGTTCATGTAGTTGTCTGTAGTATTTAAGAATGCACTTAAATAGTGAAAATAAATGAAAAAGTGAATGCATAGATTACCCATAGCCAGAATCAGCTCAAGGAGCTTTCGCAGACGTCGGGAACTAGCCACTACGCGGTACGCCTCTATTACACTGGCGATGCGGTGTATAAGATCGTTGACCGTCGGCATAAAGCGCTTCCTGTAGTGGAGACTCTTCAGCCTTTACTCGTAGTGGGGAATCCTGCCAGGACAAAAGAACAAATAGTTTAGTGACTGCCAAATCTCTTCGATGCCCTTCAAACCCACTTTGATATTTCGTAAAGGAAGCGATCGGCGCGGGCCAGTGACTCAATATCCTCTTTATGCTCATCCAACAGTGCATGTTTCTCCACCACGGGCGTAAACTTTAGCAGCTGCTCGTTGCTGTCCATCGAGAAAATGGCCCTAGAAGAGAAGAGATTAGTATTTGGAACCAGGACGTGACTAAAGCAACTCCTACTCGCTCATCTTCAGCTTGCTGAGCAGGACGGTGCAGTTCTGGGCCGGCGTCCATCGATCACTGAGAGCACCTTCTGCTTGGCTGGCTTGCCGCCAGTTGCCCGCAGATCCTCATCGGAGCTATCGGTGGCCTGTGGAAAGAGAAGAGAGCATTAAATAAGGAAGGTCTTTCAGTGGAATCTCCCCTAGACACTCACCGATACCCCATTCTTTTGATAAGCCGACAAGAGCTTGTTTATCGACTCCAAATCCATGTTATACAGCTTGCTCTCGTCAAGCTCGCTCCCGACGGTGCCCTGGAGCTTGGCATCCGGCAGCTTGGACCATTTGATGCTCTTTAATGGATTCGTGGGCTGTGGCACGTTATTCTTTGGCAGTTCCACCTTGGGTGACACAGGATCTGCAGGCAAAGGATAGAAATTAATTTATGTGGCGCTCCTTGGCTTAACTTAACTCTGTACTCACCCATTGCTGGCGTCATCCACGGTGGCGAAGGCAGTGCACCCGGCGGTGGTGGTGGCATCATGGCCGGCGCCATTTTGGCGGTGGCGGCATTATGGCCGGCGCCATTTTGGTGGTGGCGGCGATGGCCGGCGCCATTTTGGTGGCGGCGATATGGCCATGACCATGGCCGAGGGCGGCGGCGGCGGCGGTGGCTACACAGCTCCATTGCAGCCAGTCAGACCGGCCACCTTCTGGGCATCGGGTATGCTGCCCTCGGTGACCAGATGCTCGAGACGGGCCCGCTTCTGCTGCTCAATAAGCAACCGATGATACCGATCTACAAAAAGTTGTGAAAAATAACTGTCACTTTCGATAATAGTAGTAAAAAAAATAGCTGGTCACAGCACAAAAAAGTTATGAAAAACACACTAATTTTTCGATATTAAAGTAGTGAACATTAGCTGGTCACACTACAAAAAGTTATGAAAAACGACACTAATTTTTCGATATTAAAGTAGTGAACCTTAGCTGGTCACACCTCCATGCTGCATATGGCGGCTCCATGTCAGCTGATCGTCGACCTTATTATTATTATTATTAACATACCTAACCATCCTCGCCGAACAGACGCACGGCGTGATCGAAGCGGGTCTTCATGTCCTGGAACTTGTCCTCCAGCTCCGCAAAGTGGACCGATGCCGAGGCGTGGAACTCCCGCATGAAGGGCAAAGTTCGATTGAACTCGATTTTGCGTGCCATCCGCCAGGCCGGTGAGCAGCATCTGGATGTCCATGTCCATGTCCATCTCGCCCAGCGACACCTTGGAAGCCTCACGGGCATGCGGAATGTGATCCTCCAGCTCCAGTGGATCCTTGAATTTACTCTCGATTACCTGGACGAGATATTGCAGCAGGGTGGTGCCCTTGCGGCACTGGACTTGGTGTCGGCCACGCGCCCTGCGGTTCATGTAGTTGTCTGTAGTATTAAGAATGCACTTAAATAGTGAAAATAAATGAAAAAGTGAATGCATAGATTACCCATAGCCAGAATCAGCTCAAGGAGCTTTCGCAGACGTCGGGAACTAGCCACTACGCGGTACGCCTCTATTACACTGGCGATGCGGTGTATAAGATCGTTGACCGTCGGCATAAAGCGCTTCCTGTAGTGGAGACTCTTCAGCCTTTACTCGTAGTGGGGAATCCTGCCAGGACAAAAGAACAATAGTTTAGTGACTGCCAAATCTCTTCGATGCCCTTCAAACCCACTTTGATATTTCGTAAAGGAAGCGATCGGCGCGGGCCAGTGACTCAATATCCTCTTTATGCTCATCCAACAGTGCATGTTTCTCCACCACGGCGTAAATTTAGCAGCTGCTCGTTGCTGTCCATCGAGAAAATGGCCCTAGAAGAGAAGAGATTAGTATTTGGAACCAGGACGTGACTAAAGCAACTCCTACTCGCTCATCTTCAGCTTGCTGAGCAGGACGGTGCAGTTCTGGGCCGGCGTCCATCGATCACTGAGAGCACCTTCTGCTTGGCTGGCTTGCCGCCAGTTGCCCGCAGATCCTCATCGGAGCTATCGGTGGCCTGTGGAAAGAGAAGAGAGCATTAAATAAAGGAAGGTCTTTCAGTGGAATCTCCCCTAGACACTCACCGATACCCCATTCTTTTGATAAGCCGACAAGAGCTTGTTTATCGACTCCAAATCCATGTTATACAGCTTGCTCTCGTCAAGCTCGCTCCGACGGTGCCCTGGAGCTTGGCATCCGGCAGCTTGGACCATTTGATGCTCTTTAATGGATTCGTGGCTGTGGCACGTTATTCTTTGGCAGTTCCACCTTGGGTGACACAGGATCTGCAGGCAAAGGATAGAAATTAATTTATGTGGCGCTCCTTGGCTTAACTTAACTCTGTACTCACCATTGCTGGCGTCATCTACGGTGGCGAAGGCAGTGCACCCGGCGGTGGTGGTGGCATCATGGCCGGCGCC